CGGGAGCTATCTTCAGCATGCTGGATGAATTAGTTTCTGAAAGCAAAGCCATCTTTAAGAGAGTTCTGGAGTTCTTAATGTCTGGATGTTGCATAGTCTCACTGATAGATATGAATTTAGTAATTGTTCTAATGAGCCAGTTTGGTGTAGTGGTCAAGGCACCAGGCTAGAAACCAGGAGATCATGAGTTCTAGTCCCACCTTAGGCAGGAAGCCAGGTGGGTGACCTTGGGCCAGTCAGTCTCGTTCAGCCCTAGGAAGGAGGCAGTGGCAAACCACTTCTAAAAAATCTGGCAAAGAAAACCACAGGGATTTGACCAGGTAGTTGCCAGGAGTCAACACTGACTTGAACGCACACACGCACAAAAATGTTCTAATACTTAATACTATGCTGGAAGTGGCTTTTTGAGGTTTTTATTAGAATGTAGAAAGGCTTTACTGATCTGTATGAAATAAGTATTCATTTCTAGCCCCCTTTATCTTGGGATTTATTTATTTATTAAATTTATTATGGCTGCCCACTCCAGAAGTCTCTGGCAGCTTACAGTATCCAAACATAGAATTAAAAACACATAAAAAACATGAAGCAAGACATGGCAGCTCATACTAAAAATAACTATATCAATAAAAACATGACAGAGGCTCCACAGGCATACTACTCCAGGTCTGGGAACAGAGCCGGGTCTTATGGGCCTTCCAGAACCCCAGGAGATGGGTGCCATATGTATCTCTGGGGTGATGATATTCCAGAGGGCAGGGGCAGCTACAGAGAAGGCATATGTTCTCGGTCCAACAAGATGGCAGCATTCAACTGAGAGGACTTCAGGTAGGCAGAAATGATTGGAGATAGGCAGTCCCTCAGATAATGAGGCCCTATGCTGTGGTTCAGCCGTCAAACTGATTTCTATACCATTGTCCTCTCTGACCCAGTTCTTGCAGGGCCTCAAGGTCTTTCTCAGCATGGGCCCTTGAGCTCTTGGAGTTTAACCCTGCAACCTTAGGCATGCAAAGCTTATGTTCAGCCACTGAGCTACGGCCTTTCTACTTCCCTCCCTGTGTCTCAGTTCATACTTCATAGTAAAGCAGGCTTTGTTAAACCAGGCTTGCTGAATAAGCCAGTGGTTCAACACCCATGTCATGGTAAGTCCCAAATAAATCATACTATGGCTTTGTGTCATGTGGGAATCCAGCCTCTGTGTCAGCCTTGAAATCTAATGCACAGGTCAGCCAATTCAGTCTCTAAATTAGAGCTCTTACCCTTAAATTGCCTTCATTAAATTGAAAGTACTGAGAGTCATGCCAAGACAGTAATAGATTGACACTATTCACAGCCTCGTCTAATGGAAGTAAAAGTGAAGAAAAGGAGTTACGGAGAAAGGGGTTGTCTCGTTTTACACAGACCACTTCTTAGTTTTGCCAGAAGGCATCTAAATTTAGAGGGAGCTCAGATGGTTTAACTTATGCTTTCTTCCAGGCGTTGCTTGTATGTGCTAGCCAGCCTAGATTCCCTTAGATTGACTTAGACTCCCTTAGGCTTACTCACTTCCTTAGACTAACCGGCACTTGCCAATTTACACCTCTTTTTACATATGACCTTTGCAGTTTGGGCCTATTATGTTTCAAGTAGTTTTATCTATTTTTCCATTCTCCTTGCCATTCTTCTGCAAAAGACAATCATTGAGATATGTACTGTTATGAGCAGGAAGAAAATCAGAGTCTAATTAGAACTGACCAGCCCCATTTTTCTTCCTCTATAGAATATTGCCATAAAGGAATATTACTAAAAATTTGTCTAGACCTGCTCTCTCGTTTCATTTCCTTGTGTCCTTAGAGGTTCCTTGCCTTGATCCTTTTTGTGTATGTGCTTTGCTAAAGCAAATTCAGCTATACTATCTTTAGCTGCCCTGTGTTTGCCCGATGTTACAAATCAGCTTGGACACTATACAACACCCCATAGTGCAATTAAAAGTAAACTGCATTTGCTATGTTATATGTATAATTATATTTTATGTTATTCTCAGTTTCCTCATGTTCACATTCTACTCCATATTCTTTTTCTTTCTTCATCATATGAATGCATTTCTCAGGTATACAGAATATTATTTTTCCTTCCCCGTCACCAATCACTTTTTTAAAATTTACAAAACTGAACACATCTTATCTTTCATCTATGTTCCTAACAGGCTGTGATCAACTACTTCTGAACTTAATTAAGGCTGATGTTTACCAACTGATTAATCTGAAAACTATTTTGTTTGAACAGGCATCTGTCCTTTTGTACTCTTTATAGCTTCACTGTTCCAAAATACGGGTTGATCTTGTATTTCTATTCCTTTGTGGTGTAATTCAAATTTTGAAGGGCTGTGTCAGCCTTAGATTTTTTTCTGTCAAGCTTCACTAAGATTTTAGGGTCCCCAGTTTAGGTATTTTATAGCTAAGTTCTGACATAGTGGAAGATTGTTGTTTTCATATCTTCCAGTCTTTGTTTCCACTATTGAGTAAAGGCCATTTATCATAATGATAGTAGGATGGTTAAATTTTTAATTCTTGATTTGCTCATTTCTCTTATGCTAAATATGGTAAATTTTTGTAACATTGTACATTTTATAGAACATTAATTGTATACTGAGACATTTGAATAAAACATGTACGGTGTCATTTTGGACAAAAATGTATGCACCAGGGCACCTTTGATTTCCAATTACTATATTTATCCAAAAGGAAGACAACCTTGAGTATAACTTGATCATCACTCCAAAAGAATAGTAGATATAAATCATTAAATAAATACAGTAAAAAATGGTGCACAAAGTCTTCTTTTTCCATCCTGTCAATTTAGAGCTGAAACTCCAACTGAAATCCATCCTTTGCTCAATAAATATTTGCATGTGAAAGATTTGTATATGTATATGCATACAACTGTGTGCATGTGCACAGTCTATGTGGCTGTGCATGCCTGTCAGATGCCACACTTCAAAAAAGGACAGACCAGGAAAAGAAAATAATTGAATTAGTAACTTCTTGCTTATTAGTAATAGTAACTGCAGTCATTTGCACTTCCACCCATGTATTTGTTTTCCACAACTTATCCTGTCCTGTCCTGTCCCATCCTATCCCCCTCCCCCTAATTCACAGGTTAACTGTGGGGGCAGGGGGGGAGAAAACTGTGACTTCGTATCAGGTAAATACGGTATGTAGAGATAGACAATGACAACTGAATGTCTCCCCCACTCCTCCAAAAATATCTTCTTCATTTGTGGATGTATGCATAAATTAAATTAAGAGATTTTGACAAATCTCTTTATCAAAAAAAGTTTTGATAAATTACCAAGATATGGATTAATCCATAATTCACTAAATTCACTGGGTTTGCATCAAAATAATCATCCAAAGCATTATAATTAAAGCAGAGCTGACATTAGACGACGCATCAACATTTTACTAGGGGAAATTCATTGTGAAAAGTGACATATATAATTTACCAAAAGAAGTACATGAAGAGTACAAACATTATGAGTCCTTTGACACTGTTTCTGTGAAAGCTTTTGACAGATGGCGTAACAATATTTCCTAACATCAGAACAGCGAGCAATAAATACTTTCCTCCTTAGATTTGTTTTACTAGCCTGCCTTTTTGGCTCTGGCAAGTTGTGTAGAAGAAATAATGTGCTCAGCATAGTGGAGAAGCTTTTAACTCATCTGGAATCACCATGCCCTATTTCTAGATACTTCAGCTTAGTCTAGTTACAACAGCAACATGAACATAAATAAATAAATTATACAGTCTTGTATAATGAGCCTCAACTTTTGAAATTAAAGTTAAAAACAAAACCATCTTTAGTAGAATTTAAATTAATTTCCAAAATTGAGTCTTGATCTATAAATTCCATGAACATAAAACATGAATTTTGGAATACAGAAATATTGTGGCTCTTTCACTAATATATAATGTGTCATGCTGCAAAAAGTCCCTGAGGTTGCTTTTTTAAAGCTCTGAAACAAGTATCATTAACCATAGTCAAGGATATGGCAACTATTCCCTTTCCACAACTTTCCACTGTGCAGAACTTTCTATCCAGCCCTTTCTCCCTTAAGAATGACATATTTTGGATATCCCAGGACCACAGTATAAATAATATATATTTAAGAATAATAAGACTGTCTGCCTTCAGTGGTGCAAATGAATGTCTGTGCTCCAACACTTTATAACAGTGGTGAGCTAATCTGTCACTTACTGAATGGTGGTGAAACTAATATTAATAATGGCATATTGGTTAACATTGGCAGAAAACCCAATAGGTTCTTGGAACACTTTTCAATCCTCAGATGACTCAAATGTATTTTATAAATTCTTGCTAATAAATACAATGCTTGCAACACCAGACTACTTGGAAACTATAAATATACAAGTGGAAGCCCACAAAAAATAGTTATATAAAAGTGTATTCGGATTGGCTTATTCTAAATTCAGTTTTCTGCTGCCAGCTCTTAGATTTTAAACAGCATGAAACAGGCATGCAATTTTATAAATATTTGCTAATAGATACAATAGTTGCAATACCGGAAAACCACTTGAAAACTATAAACACATAAGTACAAAAATCTTTAAACAATAAACATTTATTAAGATTGGTTTATCCTAAAGAGTATCTTCCAGGGCATTTTCACAGGGCACCGTATGCTGAGCCTGGCTGAAGCAAAGGTGCCCGTTATCTCTTTGGCACCACGTTCTGATGTTTTCTTTTCTCTTTTCAGCAGGACCCAGGGACCAACTGATAACTCTTACCAGAGATCTGAATGGATCTTCTGAATATATCCACTGAAATTAGTCATAGGGCCCATCAAGTGCTAGGGCCATAGGTTGCTTCATGCCTGTTTTAAATAATTTAAAACATAAGGAGTGAGCGCCTGCCGTTGCCTTTTCCCTTGGTGAGAGATGAGTATCAGATGTGTGGCCATTTACTGACGGTGTTCTTGTCTGTTTGCATATTCTGATTGAAGGTAAAAGTTTGGTTCCAGAACAGACGGATGAAATGGAAACGGGTAAAAGGAGGGCAACAGGGAGCTGCAGCCCGAGAGAAAGAACTGGTGAACGTGAAAAAAGGCACCCTGCTCCCATCAGAGCTTTCTGGCATTGGTGCGACCAGCCTCCAACATACGGGGGACTCCCTGGCAAACGACGACAGCCACGACAGTGATCACAGCTCTGAGCATGCACACTTATGATAAGACACGAAGGAACCCTAGCTCTGTTCTCAGGAAAACCACGCTAACCCAGCGGCCTTACACGGACGTTAACGGATGCAAGTGGCTGACTCTCTGACAATCAAAACAAAACTAAACATAGGACTTACTATTTCCACTACTCTTGAACTATTATTTTTATTATTTTTATTATTAATATTATTATTTGTGTTCGGATTCAGTAAGTGCCATGCCTCCAGTGTGCCTTGTGAGCAGAAGCAGAAGACACATTTGCTTTTGAACATTCCAGGTTCGTCTGCCCTTTCAGTGACAACGGAGCAGGTATTTTGTCTTTCTTTAGCTTGCGCCAAACAATACTGTTGCTTTCCAGAGATTTAGTATTTTGAAAAAATACACCCCCACAGTGTCAACAGAAACACTGTCTCCCGAGGATAAGAATTGTATTTTAACTCTGTATATATTTACTTTGCAGCATTTTTACTTTTCACTCGTTTTTAGCAGTGCATTCATATTAGCTGACCGCAATAGTCACTCATGAGAATAAATGGCTTTTTTTTGGTCTAATTTTTGTTTTGTGTGCCAGAGTTATAGAATACATGCAGACATTTGGGTTCACAAAACAAGTGACGTAAATGAGTCTGCTAGCTGAAGTCCTTATACCACAGACAAAACAAACCTTATGTTGCATTTACTATCAACTGCTGCTAATAGGAAATTATTAAACCTTGTTCCTCAAAACGTCTTACTTTATAACAGCAAAGATTTTTTTTTTAAAAAAAGAATCATGCTTATTATGAAAAGAAAACTGAATCTTGATTCATTATTAGAATTTATTACTACAATAATATAATAGGCATATGATTCTTGTAGCTGGATATAATCCAGAAGATCCCCAATACATTCAGTAAAGCTGCTTCGAAACAAATTGTGAACAGTATTTTCTTACAAATGGGAAAGTGTTTTATCTTTCATTATTTTGTATTAATATTCAGGTATTAATATTACAATATGAGTAAGTATTCAAATTAATAAGACAAAGTTCTCTGTCTAATGGTCAAGTTTTATTAAACATGTTTGCATACAGAACACAAAAATAAGGATATTTTCTCCCCTCTTTTAAGCTTTTGTGTACATACAATGAAATAAGAACAACCCAAAAATTTTCACAAAACATTGATTGTACTTTGTAAAGGAAATGTTTAATAAATGATCCTTTTGAAATAAGACTTGTTCTTCTTTAGAGTTTTCATAGGCAACTAAAAACATCAGAATTATAATGTTCTCTAAAAGGGTACCTGTGTTTAAATTGTACAAATAGGGCATTTCATGTTGGATAAAGCTTTTACCTTGATACAGTGGGGAAATTCTTTCTTCTAGCAGGAAAAAGCAACCCTTAGGAAGCCTTTCGCCAAGAACAACAAGGACTATGCTAAACCATTTCCCCAGATCTCAGAGAACTCTGAAATGGATATTTTTCTTGCACCTACTTTCTGGAAATGGGAGGAGGGAAATGGCAACTTTAAAATGTGGTGTAAATTAAACAATCATATATTATGGTCACAAATATTTGAAAAGATGTAAGTCACCCAACTTTTTTTTAAAGAAACATATTTCAATAAACAAATATTAAATGTAAATTTAACACTAATATAAATGTAATATCCCATCTCTTCAGAGAACTCAAAGCAGTCAGTTTTATTGCAATTCAGCAATTACCTAAACACTAAAAGTGCAGTAAAAGAAAAAAGTATTGTTTTCCAGGGTGACCTATTTGTCTCAGTGTTCTACTCTTTTGCTATATTGCTATATGAGAATAAACTTCTTACAATCTGGATATCCTTCCAGGTTCTTCCTATTATATTAGCTGGACCACTTTCAAATCTGAAGCCATCCTTTCAAGGACTTGAGTCAGGTTACATAATTACCAGCCGTAAGCTATCCATCTTTTGAGGTCAGCAAAGGTGACAGAGGATACCCTCTAAATCTCTGTTCTGCCACGCTGTAATCAGTCTTGAATGTTGATATACTCCGCCCATGAGTGTTGTCTCTTGGTGGTCACAGGGAGTTCCTGTTATTATTTTCCTTATCTCCCAGCTGGAGCAATGATCAAGAACCTATTTGGAACTTACTTAGTTCTGATTCATTCCATGACCAAGAATGTAATCACAAACCTTAGCTACAGTAAAGTAAGCTTATTTAGCCCTCATAAAATATGGCCAGGCTAGTTAATTCCCCATCATGACATGTAGTGATTGGACTTCCAAGCAAAGCATTGTTTGGACTTCCAAGGAAAACATACAGAATCTGGTGAGTTTAGAACCTGGCAAATATTATTTGGTTCAGAAGTAAAGCAACAGGTCCAAAACAAAATAATTACTTCTTTTTAAGAAGAGTATTCCCCAAATATAACAAAATAGATCAGGGTAGGCTTGTTGTATGACAAAAGCAGGACTCCCTAATGTACAGCCATCAGATCTGGGCTCCAAAAATCTGAACCACTAAGTGGCAGTAAAGAGATATATTAAACTCTGTTTGCTGCCATCTAATTGTGCAGATTTTAGCAGCCCAGATCTGGTAGCCATCTCTAACTCTACTTAGTACTTAGACAACATTTGTACAAGTTTACTTAGAGAACAATGAATCACACTATCTGGCTCATGGGCTGCCATTTTGAAAATACAGACTGTATCATGTTAATGCCCTTTCATTAGGCAAATAGTGTGCGTGGGAGCTGCCAGGTCATAACAGTTTTGTAGTGAAGTGTTCTGCATTTTCAGTTGCTTTACTCTTCTATCTTACACTGCCTAGGACTTACTAGGCGGTGCAGGGCCACTGTGCCACAAGTAACGAGGTTTCTGGATTTACATAACATGGCCTGGGAGGGGGAAGTGCTTGGCTTAAAAGCTGGTTTGGTGTACTTTGGGTGGCTCTGAAGTGAGTAGGTTTCTGGGCTTATGCAGTGCATTGGATCTAGTAATGACCCAGTTTATTTTGAAGGACAACATGTAGAACTGCTAATTAAATCTCCACTCTGGGTGTCCCTGTGTTGTTATTCCACTTTAAGAGAGCCAGAAAGGTATATATTTAGGGTTTGGGACATGGACTAAGATAAGGAAGAGACAGGTTCAAGTCGACCTTTAGCCATGGAAGCTCATTGTCACTCTCATTCTAACTTAGCTCCCAGAAGTGTTGAAGGAGGGATAACATTGGAAAAAAAAGACTGAGTTCCTGGAGGAAGAATGGAATATAAATGCAATATACAGTGGGGCAAAAAAGTATTTAGTCAACCACCAATTGTGCAAGTTCTCCCACTTAGAAAGATGAGAGAGGCCTGTAATTTTCATCATACGTGTTGCCCAGCGACAGCCCCAAAACATCACTGCTCTAGAGGAGATCTGCATGGAGGAATGGGCCAAAATACCAGCAACAGTGTGTGAAAACCTTGTGAAGACTTACAGAAAACATTTGACCTCTGTCATTGCCAACAAAGGATATATAACAAAGTATTGAGATGAACTTTTGATATTGACCAAATACTTATTTTCCACCATGATTTGCAAATAAATTCTTTAAAAATCAGACAATGTGATTTTCTGGATTTCCCCCCCTATTTTGTCTCTCATAGTTGAGGGACTATGAACTATGATGAAAATTACAGGCCTCTCTCATCTTTCTAAGTGGGAGAACTTGCACAATTGGTGGTTGACTAAATACTTTTTTGCCCCACTGTATATTGCATTTATATTCCCTATGATGAAAATTACAGGCCTCTCTCATCTTTCTAAGTGGGAGAACTTGCACAATTGGTGGTTGACTAAATACTTTTTTGCCCCACTGTATATTGCATTTATATTCCCTATGATGAAAATTACAGGCCTCTCTCATCTTTCTAAGTGGGAGAACTTGCACAATTGGTGGTTGACTAAATACTTTTTTGCCCCACTGTATATTGCATTTATATTCCCTATGATGAAAATTACAGGCCTCTCTCATCTTTCTAAGTGGGAGAACTTGCACAATTGGTGGTTGACTAAATACTTTTTTGCCCCACTGTATATTGCATTTATATTCCCTATGATGAAAATTACAGGCCTCTCTCATCTTTCTAAGTGGGAGAACTTGCACAATTGGTGGTTGACTAAATACTTTTTTGCCCCACTGTATATTGCATTTATATTCCCTATGATGAAAATTACAGGCCTCTCTCATCTTTCTAAGTGGGAGAACTTGCACAATTGGTGGTTGACTAAATACTTTTTTGCCCCACTGTATATTGCATTTATATTCCCTATGATGAAAATTACAGGCCTCTCTCATCTTTCTAAGTGGGAGAACTTGCACAATTGGTGGTTGACTAAATACTTTTTTGCCCCACTGTATATTGCATTTATATTCCCTATGATGAAAATTACAGGCCTCTCTCATCTTTCTAAGTGGGAGAACTTGCACAATTGGTGGTTGACTAAATACTTTTTTGCCCCACTGTATATTGCATTTATATTCCCTATGATGAAAATTACAGGCCTCTCTCATCTTTCTAAGTGGGAGAACTTGCACAATTGGTGGTTGACTAAATACTTTTTTGCCCCACTGTATATTGCATTTATATTCCCTATGATGAAAATTACAGGCCTCTCTCATCTTTCTAAGTGGGAGAACTTGCACAATTGGTGGTTGACTAAATACTTTTTTGCCCCACTGTATATTGCATTTATATTCCGCAAATAAATTCTTTAAAAATCAGACAATGTGATTTTCTGGATTTCCCCCCCTATTTTGTCTCTCATAGTTGAGGGACTATGAACTATGATGAAAATTACAGGCCTCTCTCATCTTTTTAAGTGGGAGAACTTGCACAATTGGTGGCTGACTAAATACTTTTTTGCCCCACTGTATAAAGAAGGGGAAAATAAGTTTATGTAATCCTTGCCATTGCTGTCCTAAAGGGATTTCTTTCTTATCTTTCACTGGGATGTAAAGAGGGAATTCTCTGCTACCCCCATTTCAGTTGTTTCAAGGTCATGCCTCTTATGGCACAACTGAACTCACAACAGTCCCATGTCTTTTCCTCTGAAGGAGGAAAAGCTTCCTCCACCAAATAAATAAATAAGGAAGAAAACAATAGATATAATTGACATTTTGTCTCTGCAGATCAGATTTTTAAACTGCTGTATAAGGATAACAGTTATTTGACATAATCAAATGGCAATTTTATGCACTTGAATTCAGTGCACATATTTCAGCCAGAGCATCAGGACCATCTAAGCTTTGTGCAGTTAAATTTTGGCCGAGCACTGGCAAAAAAATCCCCCTCATTGGTATTGTTTCCTGATCTTAATTAGGTCTGGGGCATTGCAGGCAAGGGCAATATACCACCTATGCCAGATAGGTAAATGTGTATGTTTTAGATTCTGCTCTGTTATGTGATGAAACTTCAATTTTTTAAAAGTTAGACCTTGAACTAGGTCTTCTTTTCCTTTCTTGACAAAGAAAAACAGAACCAGTTAAGAACAAAATATTAGTCCAAGCCTTCATGCTGAATTTTCTGGATTTTCTCCAGTTGAGTCTTGGATCAATATATATTTTGGATCTGTACAAACAACCCATACGTACAATGTGGGATCAGCTTGAGATCTGGAGCAACATTTAATAGTTTCTCTGCTGTAACTGAGTGTACTGTTTATGGATTTCTTTTCTAGAAGATTTCTGTACATAATTGGTAATGACCTTAAATAACAACAACAAAAGGCTTTGTTGAGGACAAACACAGAACAAGGTCCCTAAAGTTGTTACTATTTCAGAAGTTCTGGCAGCTATGTTTCCAATGGAGTTAAAACAGAAAGAGAGGGAAGGAGGGGATGGGGAGGTGTGACTTGAGACACAGTTAACGTACAAAGGCTCAAGGCTTCCATCTGGATGACCTTTCCCCTTTGTTGTTCCTTCAATTGCCTTGCACATCTCAGGGGACCTACTAAGTTTATAGGCAAACTTCATGTGCTCCATAGCAATCTCTGGAAGAACCACAAAAAGAAATTCATCCCCAAGGATAAGTCTCCTTATTTACAGGAAGTTTTCCATCTGAAGGCAGAATTACTGTCCTAGAAGTATCTGCAAAAATGTCTTCTCTTGTTTCTTTCTAATATAGCTATTAAAACCTAGTTAGCTTGTATGGCTACATTAAACTATGTAATTATACAG